GAACAGCAGAAAAGTGTTTCCAGGACAGCGTGGTTAGTTATCCAGCAGTGTCCCTCCCAGGACGTGTGGGGGTCAGGCTCCGTGCAGGCAGGGCCATGAGGGGGGCCATCACCACCCAGGTCCCTGCAGTACACAGACCCGAGACCTTCGCCAGATGACCTCCCCGCCCTGAGCGGAGGTAAAATCACCAATCAAACAGGATGAGGCCCTCCAGGAATGCCCAGGGTCCTGGAGGCTTTTTGGAGGTGAAGCCTGGCTGAGCCTGGGGCAGGGAGAAGATCCCTGGAGGAGGGGAGGGCCTGCAGGGAGGAACCCAGAGGTTGTCTGTGGGTGATGCTCACATGATCCAAACCGCCCTGTTAAATGAGCACATGAGCTGAACGCTTCCCAGCAAGAGCAGGACAAGGAGAGCAGGAACCTTTCTGGGGCAGCCCCGTGTGTGGACCATACAAGGTCAGAGGTCTGAGCAGGCTCCATTCTCAGTGCAGACATCGTAGACCCACACACGGCAAAGGGATGCACTCTAACTGATTGGTGTGCTGTGATCGCTTTCCTTTGGGTGCTCTGAAAGAGCCCTGGGGAAGGGGTCAGTTCAGTCACTCAGTCCTGTCTGACTCTTGCTGAATCACGGCATGCCAGGCCTCCCTGTCCATCACCAACTCCCAGAGATTACTCAAACTCATGTCCAGAGTTGGTGATGCCATCCAGCCATCTCATCCTCTGTCGTCCCCTTCTTCTCCTGCCTCCAATCCCTCCCAGCATCAGGGTCTTTTCAAATGAGTCAGCTCTTCACATCAGGTGGCCAAAGTATTGGAGTTTCAGCCTCAGCATCAGTCCTTCCAATGAACACCCAGGACTGATCTCCATTAGGATGGACTGATTGGATCTCCTTGCAGTCCAAGGGACTCTCAACAGTCTTCTCCAACACCACAGTTCAAAAGCATCAATTCTTCTGCACTCGGCTTTCTTTCTAGTCCAAGCCTCACATCCATGCATGACCACTGGAAAAACCATAGCCTTGACCAGATGGACCTTTGTTGGCAAAGTAATGTCTCTGCTTTTTAATATGCTGTCTAGGTTGGTCATAACTTTCATGACTGAGCAACTGAACTGAACTGAGGGGCGCGCCTCATTGATTGCACTTTGCAGACGCTGCGTTTTTTACAAATCGAGGTTTGTGGCCACTCTGCCTCGGGCAGGCCTGTCGGCACCCTTCTGCCAACAGCATTTGCTCACCTCGTGTGTCTGTGTCACAGTTTCGCTAATTCCTGAACAGTTCCGGCTTTTCGTTATCATTTGTTAGGTGACCTGTGCTCAGTGATCTTCAGTGTGACTCCCCACAGGCTCAGACGATGGTGTAGAACTTTTTAGCAGTGAAGTATTTTTTAATAAAGGCATGTGCTTCTTTTAGACATAATGCTATTTATTGCTCCATATTAACAGACTACACCCTAGTGTGAACATAACTTCTATATGCACTGGGGAACCAGAGAATTCACGGGAGTCCCTTCATGGTGGCATTTGCGTTACGGTTGTGGTCTGGAACAGAACCCACAGTATCTCAGATCTGTCTGGACGATTTTTGCCTGTGGGTCTCAGTAAAGTTATTTTCATCTTGAATTGGGAGAAAAACCATGGATGCTCAATTTTCCTAATTTGTCCCTGGGTTAAAAGAACCCTCCTGGGACTTCCCTGGTGGTCCAGTGGCTAGGACTCCGTGCTCCCAATGCCGGGGGCCTCGGTCCCATCCCTGGTCAGAGAACTAGATTCCACATGCTGCAACTAGGACCTGGAGCAGCCAAATAAACTTTTTTAAAAAAAGAACTGTCCCCATACCCTAGATGTGCACCGGTTGCTTACCCTGGCCCCCAACCCCATCGACACCCTGGGGCACCCCAACTCCCCTCCCCCCTCAGCCCGTACCCCACCCTCCAGCCCTGCCCCCAGTCTCTGGAGAAGGAAGACGTGGTCCTTGGTGGTGGCCTCAGCCTTGGCCGAGGTGGCTCTTCCCGATTCAGACCCTCGTGGAGAAGGAGGGGAGTGGTGAGGGACCAGGAGGGGACATGGGAGCCCCTGAGCGTGGGTCCCAGAGAAGCCTTAACGTGCATCTGCAAAGGAAGAGCCTCTGCCCAGGGGACACCATTAATCATAATAAAATAATAACAATAGAGGCTGCCCCTCCCCTGCTGCTGGGCCCAGCTCTCTGAGCGCACCTCAGAATCACCTCACTTGATCCTCACTGCTGCCCCACAGGAGCTTGCATCAATTCTGTTTTAGAGAGAACGATGAGGCCCAGAGAGGGGAAGTAACCCACCCAGGGTCACACAGCACCTGAACCCTGGAGCTGAGGTCTGAGCGCAGCAGCGGGAGCCTGGGCCTCCCGCCTCCCACGTTACCAGCGGCCCCAGCAGTGAGCCGAGCTCAAGGTCAAGTTCCCGACTCAGCAAGTACACACAGCATCAAAGCAGACACTTGGAGATGGGCTTGGTCTGTCTTCCTGGCCCCTAACAACCCCACGACGGGCTGCTGGGGTCTCAGTAACTGCACGTCAGAGCCCTCCAGGAGCCCTGACCCCCCAGCCCCCGGCTCCTCTCCCGGTCTGGGCCCTGATAGAGCTGCGCTGGGATGTCTGTCCTCTGAGCAGGTCACCCGTGGCCCCTTCCTTGTTCCTGCTCACGGGAGACCAGGTCTCAGGGGGTCTCTGAGTCCTGGGCAGGCAGCTCCCTGCAGAGCCAGTTCTGTGGGGCCCTGGTACTGAAAAGCAAAGGGCTTTGCTGATCTTTAGCCCTCCGGGCATTTGTAGGAGCAGACCTCCTTGTCAGTGTCATGGCCGTCTTTTCCAGGCCTCCTGGGCCAGGCCCCAAGGCCCAGATCTGACGTGTTTTCGGGGTGTCCCTGTCCTGAACCCCAGTTTCTACACAGCCCCGGTGGACAGTGCCGGGCGGGGCCAGGTCCTGTGTCGGGCCCGCCCCAGCTGGTCACAGATCTCTGGCGCCAGGGGTCACAGGTTTCTCAGAAGCCAGGAAGACCACCCTGCCCCTCCCAGGAGAAAGTGCTGCAGTGTTAACCCCCCAAGGGGTGACCCTCAACCAACTGGACCAGGAGCCACTGGATAAACACCAGCCTCCCCTCCTTCTGACCAGCCATCCCGAGGTGTGTGACGCACGCTTTCTGGGCGTCCACAGCAGCCTGGGCCCCGGGAGCCCCCGGGACGACAGGGCCTTCTCTCTGCCTGTGGGCTCCCCCCACCCCCCGGGATCCCCTAGACGGAACTGCTTGCTCTCAAGCTCTTTCTCAACTTCTGCTTCCCAGGCACTCACTGCGCCCCGGGACCTCTCTGAGCCCCAACCTCCTCACCCACAAGGGGGCATAAAATACTGCACGGCCACCTCCGGAGGTCGTACAACTGAGCCCGGTAAGGCCTGGGCTGTGACCACAGGGTGCTGGGCCCTGCAAACTCCAGGGCAAGACACGGAAGCTGAGAAATGCCGGAATGCGGAGGCTCACTCTTGGTACTTGTGGATGCCTGGTGTATTCTTATTTGTTGATTGTTGGTGTAATTTTTGTTGATTTGTTGATTATCATTTGTTGATTCCAGGTATGCACAGCCACAAACATTCACGTATCTCAAGCCACGTTCCCTGCTGTTTGCCGGCTCATTCAAGCAAACCCCAGAACATCCTGCCTACATGCTCGCCCCCTGGATCGTGGACAGGGAGAGGGCCCTTCCCCCTACCCGCTCTAGGAGAACACGCGCCGATTAGTGGGAAAGGTGTTGCCAGCGGGTAAGCAGCTCACAGACAGGTCAGCTCCGGCCAGCTCTGGGCATTCAGAAAGCCGACCGCAGTGGAGGGGCCCTGCTCCACGCAGGCGCTGCTGAGGCTTTGGGATGCGCTTCCCTGATAGCTCAGGTGGTAAAGAATCCGCCTGCAATGCAGGAGACCCCAGTTCGATTCCTGGGTCGGGAAGATCTCCTGGAGAAGGGATAGGCTACCCACTCCAGTATCCTTGGGCTTCCCTTGTGGCTTAGCTGGTAAAGAATCTGCCCGCAATGTGGGAGAGCTGGGTTCGATCCCTGGGTTAGGAAGACCCCCTAGAGAAGGGAACAGCTACCCACTCCAGTATTCCGGCCTGGAGAATTCCGTGGACTACACAGTCCATGGGGTCACAGAGAATCGGACACAACTGAGTGCCTTTCACTTTCACCCCAGGGCAGTCACACACCTCACTGCTCCCCCTCCCCTGGGTCCAGCCCCCCGGGACTGGCACCTACCAGTTGCCACCTGGGTTGTTGCGATAAATCGTGACACACCAGCATGCCAAGGAGGGTATGCAGAATGGGTGAGAGCCAGCACCGTCCCTGTGGAGGCCCAACTGCTTACGGCGGGCACGGTGCACGGGTGCAATGGTTAGCAGCATGGGATGCGGGCAGCTGGCGCACAGGGCCCTGAGTTGTTTTTTAATTAACTAATCGATTAATTAGTTTCGGCTGTGCTGGGTCTTCGTAGCTGTGTTTCTCGAGTTGCGTCCGGCAGGAGCTCCTCTTTGGTGCAGCGTGAGGGCATCTCACTGCGGTGGTTTCTCTAGCCGTGGAGCACAGGCTTCAGCAGCCGTGGCTCCGGGCTCGAGAAAAGGGACCAAGCCTGTGTCCCCAGCACTGGCAACTGGATTCTTTACCACTGAGCTCCTAAGGAAACCATTCTGCCTTTTTTTTGAAGATTGTGTTTTTTTTAATGGGTTTTAATTTTGTTTATTTTTAGCCACATTTTTTGTGTGTGGTCTGTGGAACTTCCCTGACTAGGCATAGAACCCGTGCCGCCTTCAGTGGAAACAGAGCCTCACCCACTGGCTCGGTAGGGAAGTCCCAGCCTGCTCCTTTCACAGCAACTCCAGGTCAGGCTCTGTGGCACTTGCAGCCTTGAGGTGCAGCCTGGTCCAGACGCTGGCTGGGCCCTGATGCCCAGCTCTGCAGAAGACATCACTGACCCGGGAGCTGGGGGATGCAGGGTCGAGTGCTGCTGCGGGCAGAGAGGTCTCTGGGGCCCAGAGAGGCTGGGACAGTGTTTACAGCAGCCTCGGAGCCCGAGATGCTACAAATAGCCGGGGCCTTGCCCCTGAACCCACTCCTTCTGGCCGCCCAGCAGGTGGTAGGATGAGAACAGGCCCCAGCGTGGTGGGCACAGGCTGCCAGCACCTCACGGGGTGGGGGTGGGGGGTCGCCCTCCGGTTGCAGCAGAGAAGAAGCCTGGTGGCGGGACCCCAGGTCCGGGAGCCGAGCTGCACGGGGGACGAGGGAGAGGGGATCGGGCCATCCCCAGGGGCCCTCGTCCTGCAGGGCCCTGGAAGCAGGCAGTTCCCAGTAAGTGGCACGTGTTTTCCCAGAACGGGCCCTCTCCCTGTCCACCATCCAGGGCAAGCGTGCAGGCAAAACGTTCTGGGGTTTGCCTGAATGAGCCGGCAAACAGCAGGGAAGGTGGTTTGTGATACGTGAATATTTGCGGCTGAGCAGACCTGGAATCAACAGACAACAAGGACAGGACAGGCCCCCCAGCTTGAGGGCCAAGCACAGCGCCAAAGCGGAGCCAGTGCTGGGGGCCCTGGCTGTGTGAGACTGGGGCGTCCGCTCTCTCAGGGTGCCTCTCCCCACCCGCCCTCAGGGACCATGAGCCTGTCCTCATAGGGGGATGGGAATGGGGGGCTGCAGGGAGCAGGCAGCTGAGCCTGCCACCAGGCCCAGGGGTCAAGGGAGGACCTGGTCCCCCGTGGGCAACGTCTCCCCGGCCAGGGTGGGAAAGGCGGATGCAAGCTGGGCATGATTCACAGCGCAGAGGAGACGGGGCCGGCACCCACCCAGCCTGCCTGGGGTCCCCGCTCCACTGATAAGAATAAGCTACCGCTGGACAGCGTTCCCATCCAGAACTTCTGGGAAGCAACACGTTCTGGAGGCTAAAATGGTTTGGTCACCAAAATACAGCAGCCAGGGCGCCAGACGCCAGAGTGGAGGGCCAGCCCACAGTCTTTGCCGTTCAGCTCATGTCTTCAAAATACCGCGCCCCAGGACTATTCCCGGCGTGGCCAGAGGGCATGCCTGGCTCCGTGGTCTGGGTTTGGAGCACTGTGGCCTGGCACCTAGGAGCCGGGGCAGGTACGCGGCCAGGGCAGGGCGTGGGCTGGGGTGCTGTCCCCTGGCCCATCACCAGGAGGTGCAGATTTGGAGTCAGGAGAATCCCATGTGCCCCCTGGAGAAGCTGATGACTCGCAAGGCTAATCTGGGCTTTGAGAGGGTGCCCACAGCCCAGCCCTGTCCCCACAAGACCGCCACCCTCCCTCCAGGTGGCAAATCCACCCACAGCACACACACGAGTCCCCACGCAGCCGGTCACTCGGGGCGCTCCCTGCACCGGGCAAGCTGCCCGCAGCAGGGGGCACACTCCCAGGCTGCAGCCAGCAGGCGTGGGCTCCCTGTCTGCAGTAGACCCTGGCCAGGGCAGAGGGACAGACAGGCTGGAGGGGCGGGGAGAAGCAGTGGCCCCCTGCCCCCGAGGCCTCCTAGAAGGGCCTGGCCCTCACGGAAGGCGTCCTGCCAGCGGGCACTTCAGGTGACCGAGCTGGTCCGTCTGGGCCCCAGGAAGACGGTGGCCCCTGCAGTCCTGAGCGGACCAAGAGAACAGCCCTCACCACCTCCCCTGCCCCGGCCAAGGCCTCCTGAGCAGACAGACAGGGCTAGCTCTGTCCCAGGGCACGGCGTGTATGCTTGGCAGCTGTCAGGAAGCGTCTGCCTAGGCTCAGGGACCAGGCCTGGGCGGCGCCCATCTTTCAGGGACCCCCTTGAGACTGCTCTCACTGTCTGCCTCCTCACCTGGGGCCTGGGACACCCCAACAGGCCACTGCCCTGCTGGTGGCAGCGGGGTGCGCACCCCCGAGAGGCCCAGGCATTCCCCGGGACCCAGCCCTTGCCCCCTCTCCTGCCTGGCCAGGCCCCTTGGCTTGAGTCCCCACCAGATCTCCCAGCCCACTTCCCAGGAGAGGTCCAGGTGGAAGGAGGAGGAGAGGGTCCATCCGCCCTCTTCCACTGAAGCCCCCTGCCCTGGGGACCCAGCCCCACGCCTGCACGCCCAGGGCCCAGGCTGCAAAGGCCGCCAGTCCAGGAGGGACGGAGGGCCCTCGGGGGCATAGCGGCACGAGGGCACTTGGCTTCCCCCAGCGGCCCCTCCCCTCAGCGTTCGGGGCTGCCACCCGCAGCTGATGTCCCTCAAGGGTGGGCTGTGGGCAGGGCAGAGATTCACCCCAGACTTCTCCTGGGGTGCCTGGGCCCCCCCCGAGAGCCGCTACAGTGGCTTCTGGGGGACTTTGCACCCCCATCCTGCTGGGGGGTCCTGGGGATGGCAAGGGCCCCAAAGGCACTGTGTACCCCTCCCCACCCCCTACACGGAGCCTCCAAGGGTGCTTCTGGAAGTTCCTGGAGCCCAAGATCTTGGTGGGTTCACCCCACAGCCAGGCAACCCCCTGGAGGCCTGTGTCCACCGTGTAGGCCTCAGGTCCCTCCCCAGGGAGCCGGGTGGGCCCGCGTCTCTGCCGAAACCATGTCCAGCAGGTGCCGCCCCCCCAACCCAGCGCTGAGCTGCTGCACTGCCGTCCGGGGGCCCTTCCAGAACCAGCCTCCCCCCAGGTATGGAGGCGAAGCCCCCGTCCTGGCAGCTCCTTCCCCCAGACCTGGGTCCCGGCTGGGCTCAGGGGCCACGCCTGCCGCTACCATCCAAACCCTTGCCCAGGCCGGCGCCGGGGCTCAGGCGTGGGGCTGGGTCCCCCGCACAGCTGCCCTCGGGGGAAGAGGGTGGACAACGCACGGGGCCTCCTCTATACGCCTTCTTCCGCCTCCTGCCAGGACCTCTCCCGGGAAGCAGACGCCCTCCCTGGCCAGCCGTGGAGACTCAGAAGGCTTCTGCCCGGCCCCACAGCCAGGTCCCAGAGACGGGGGGCCTTAGAGGCCCACAGAGGACCGCGTCCTGACAGGGGGGTGGTGGGGAGGGAGGCCCCCGGGTCAGAGGCCCTGGAGGGACCCGGCCTGGGCTGAAACCCCTCCTCAGCACGTCCCGCCGCTGGACTCCCCAAACTCCGGTCTCAGTCACTCACTGGCAGGGCGCAGGCGCAGGCGCAGGCTCGGGGTGGGGCTGGGGGGCTCAGGGGATAGGCTGGAGGCGGGTGGCGGGAAGAGCCAGGGCTGGGGAGGTATCAGGGCCCAGTGGCTCCAAGTCCGGGGGCTGGCCTCAGTGGCCGGGGTGGGTGCAGCCCGCGGGGGTCGCTGCCCAGGAGCCAAGGCAGCGGGGTCCCCATGGAGGTGCTTCTAGGTTGTGATGTCGGTGGGGGCAGTTCCCAGCAGCAGGGCCTCCTGGCCGGGTTCTCAGCCCCTCGCAGGCTCTGTGGGCTTGCCAATCCTCTTCCGCGAGTCCTGCGTCACTTACGCACCCAGCCGTCCTCAGTCTGGTGAGCAGGGGGTTCAAGTCTCCAGCTGCAATTACAGACCTGTCTCCGCCCTCTCGTCATCAGACTTCACATCCCATGTTGGGAAGCTGCTTTCAGGTGCATAACTGCTTACAACTTTATGTCTTCCTGATGAACTGACCCTTTCATCAGGAAGATGATGTAAGAATTGTCCCTCTTTGCCTCTAACAACATGCTTTGCCTTAAAGTCTATTTTGTGTGATATAAACACAATCTCTCTAGCTTTCCTAGGCTGCTTGCAAGGTACAGGCGTACCCACGTTATTGTGCTTTGCAGATATTGGAATTTTTACAAATTGAGGGTTTGTGGCAACACAGTATTGACAGATGATTGTTAGCTTATTTTGGGGGGGCAATAAGGCATTTTCAAAATTAAGGTATGTACACTGTATTTTAGATAATGCTATTGCACAGTTAATAGATTAGTGCAATGTAAATACAACTTCTTTCCCCCAAACTTTAAGCCATTTTATTCTGTATTGGGGTATATATCTGATTAACAATATTGTGGTAGTTTCAGGTAAACAGGTGGGGACTCAGTCATACATAAACACGTGTCTGTTCTTCCCCAAAGCCCCCCTCCCATCCAAGCTGGCACAAAACATCGAGCAGAGTTCCGTGTGCTATACAGTAGGTCCTTGTTGGCTGTGCTGTTCTTAGTCGCTCAGTCGTGTCCGACTCTTTGCGACCCATGGACTGTAGTCCGCCAGACTCCTCTGTCCACGGGGATTCTCCACGAAAGAATACTCGAGTGGGTTGTCATTTCCTTCTCCAGGGGATCTTTCCAACTCAGGGATCAAACCCCGGTCTCCTGCATTGCAGGCAGATTCTTTACCGTCTGAGCCACCAGGATAGCCCCCTTGTTGGTTATCCATTTTGAATACAGCAGTGTGTATATGACCTTCCCAAACTCCCTAACTAACCCCTCCCCCAGTATAGACCACTTCTATATGCCCTGGGAAATAAAAAACCTCCCATGATTTGCTTTACTGTGTTATTTGTTTTATTGCAGTTGATCTGGAATTGAACCCATAGTATCTCTGAGGTCAGTCTGTATCTCCTTTTCCACACTTTTACTTACTGCCAATCTGTGCTTTTGTGTATAAAGTGCATCTCTTGTAGATAGCACAGAGTTGAATCTTGTTTTTTTATCTAGTTCACTTCAGTTGTCACTCAAGTCACATCCACTCTTTGCGACCCCATGAACCGCAGCACACCAGGCCTCCCTGTCCATCACCAACTGCCAGAGTCCACCCAAACCCATGTCCATTGAGTTGGTGATGCCATCCAACCATCTCATCCTCCGTCGTCCCCTTCTCCTCCTGCCCTCAATCTTTCCCAGAATCAGGGTCTTTTCAAATGAGTCAGCTCTTCATATCAAGTGGCCAAAGTATTGGAGTTTCAGCTTCAACATCAGTCCTTCCAATGAACACCCAGGACTGACTTTCTTTAGGATGGACTGGTTGGATCTCCCTGCAGTCCAAGGGACTTTCAAGAGTCTTCTTTAACACCAGTTCAAAAGCATCAATTCTTCGGCGCTCAGCTTTCTTTATAGTCCAACTCTCACATCCATACATGACCAGTGGAAAAACCATAGCCTTAACTAGGTGGACCTTTGTTGACAAAGTAATGCCTCTGCTTTTTAATATGCTATCTAGGTTGGTCATAACTTTTCTTCCAAGGAGTAAGCATCTTTTAATTTCATGGCTGCAATCACCATCTGCAGTGATTTTGGAGCCCCCCAAAATAAAGTCAGCCACTGTTTCCACTGTCTCCCATCTATTTGCCATGAAGTGATGGGACTGGATGCCATGATCTTAGTTTTCTTGATGTTGAGCTTTAAGCTAAATTTTTCACTCTCCTCTTTCACTTTCATCAAGAGCCTCTTTAGTTCTTCTTCACTTTCTGCCATAAGGGTGGTGTCATCTGCATATCTGAGGTTATTGATATTTCTCCGGGAATCTTGATACCAGCTTGTGCTTCATCCAGCCCAGCGTTTCTCATGATGTACTCTGCATATAAGTTAAATAAGCAGGGTGACAACATACAGCCTTGACATACTCCTTTTCCTATTTGGAACCAGTCTGTTGTTCCATGTCCAGTTCTAACTGTTGCTTCCTGACCTGCATACAGGTTTCTCAAGAGGCAGGTCAGTGGTCTGGTATTCCCATCTCCTTCAGAATTTCCCACAGTTTATTGTGATCCACACAGTCAAAGGTTTTGGCATAGTCATTAAAGCAGAAGTAGATGTTTTTCTGGAACTCTCTTGCTTTCTCAATGATCCAGCAGATGTTGGCAATTTGATCTCTGGTTCCTCTGCCTTTTCTAAAACCAGCTTGAATATCTGGAAGCTCATGGTTCATGTATTGCTGAAGCCTGGCTTGGAGAATTTTGAGCATTACTTTACTAGCGTGTGAGATGAGTGCAATTGTGTGGCAGTTTGAGCATTCTTTGGCATTGCCTTTCTTTGGGATTGGAATGAAAACTAATCTTTTCCAGTCCTTGGCCACGGCTGAGTTTTCCAAATTTGCTGACATATTGAGTGCAGCACTTTCACAGCATCATCTTTTAGGATTTGAAATAGCTCAACTGGAATTCCGTCACCTCCACTAGTTTTGTTCATAGCGATGCTTCCTAAGGCCCACTTGACTTTACATTCCAGGATGTCTGGCTCTAGGTGAGTGTGAGTGACCACACTATCATGATTATCTGGGTCGTGAAGATCTTTTTTGTACAGTTCTTCTGTGTATTCTTGCTACCTCTTCTTAATATCTTCTGCTTCTGTTAGGTCCATTACCATTTCTGTCTTTTATTGAGCCCATCTTTGCATGAGATGTTCCCTTGGTAGCTCTAATTTTCTTGAAGAGATCTCTAGTCTTTCCCATTCTATTGTTTTCCTCTATTTCTTTGCATTGATCTAGTACAATAGTACATACCTTGTAATTGGAGTTTTATTCCATCTACACAGAATTTCAGTTGCAGTTAGGTTAGATTTAGATCTACTACCTTGCTATTTATCCCTTTTGGTTTCTCTTTCCAGTCCTTCTTTTGTGTTAATACAATATTTCTTCAAATCCCATAATTTTCCTATTGGATTTCCAGCTCTGTCTTTGCATATACTGTCCTTCAATGATTGCTCTAGAGATGAAGTACATGTTTTAATGTGTCCCAATCTGCATATGATTGGTATTGGATTCCTTTAGGTAAAATACAACCACGTGCCTCTCTATTCACTCTGCCATCTATATTGCATTTATGTCATAAGCACAACGCTGTGTATGAAAGAAGTGAAAGTGAAAGTTGCTCAGTGTGTCCGACTCTCTGCGACCCCATGGACTACACAGTGCATGGAATTCTCCAGGCCAGAATACTGGAGTGAGAGGAAAAAAAAAAAAAAAAAGAATACTGGAGTGGGAAACCTGTTCCCTTCTCCAGGGGATCTTCCCAACCCAGGAATCAAACCCAGGTCTCCTGCATTGCAGGTGGATTCTTTACCAGCTGAACTATCAGGGAAGCCCACACTGTGTATAACATTTCTAAAAGGAATTAAGAGGGACTTCCCTGGTGGTCCACTGCTTAAGACTCTGTGCTCCCAATACAGAGGACCCGGGTTCAAACCCTGATCATGGAACTAGATCCCACATGTGACAACTAAGATTTCACACACCATAACCAGAAGATTCCACCTGCCACATTTAAGACCTGGTGCAACCAAATAAATACATTCTTAAAGAAAGGAATTAAGAAAAGCAGTGTGCCAGGGGCTTCCCTAGTGGTCCAGGGATTAACAATCTATCTGCCAATGACGGGAGCACAGGTTTGCTCCCTGGTACAGGAAGATTACAAGTGTCAAGAGGCAAGGAAGCGGGGAAGGAGCCAAGATGGCAGAGGAATAGGACGGGGAGACCACTTTCTCCCCTACAAATTCATCGAAAGAACAATTGAATGCAGAGCAAACTCCAGAAAACAACTTCTGATCGCTAGCAGAAGACATCAGGCGCCCAGAAAAGCAGCCCATCATCTTCGAAAGGAGGTAGGACAAAAGATAAAAGATAAAAAGAGAGACAAAAGAGCTAGGGATGGAGACCTGTCCCGGGAAGGGAGTCTTAATAGAGGAAGTTTCCAAACACCAGGAAACCCTCTCACTGGCGGGCCTGGGGGAAGTTTTCGAATCTTGGAGGGCAACCTAACTGGGAGGAAAAATAAATAAAACCCACAGATTACATGCCTAAAAGCAACTCCCAGCAGAAAAGTACCCCACACTCCCGCATCCGCCACCAGCAAGTGGAGGCGTAACGGAGAGGAGCGGGCGGCATTGCTTAGGGTAAGGACCAGGCCTGAGTGCCCTGAGGGCAATCGGAGGGAGCTTTTGTGAGATAACAACTTAAACTGTGGGATAGCAAAAGAGAGAGGGAAAATTAACCAGCCTGAACACACTGCCCGCCGTTCGCAGAACAAAGGGTCTGAGCAATTCCAGAGAAGAGCTAGCCGGCTGCGGACAGGCCCAGCCCCGACGGAGGCAGGAGGCAGGGGGGAGGGGAATGGGGCAGGCTTGGCCCCAGAGACGGCATCCCCTACCACACTGCAAACAGGCCTCCAGTTTCTAACCAAAGACTTCCTGAGATTCTGGATGGTCGACATCCGCCGGGAGGGTCGCGGCTAAACATAAGGTGCACGCACCCGACCTGTGCCGGCGGAAACTGAGGCTGGGGCCACGGAGGGGAGAAGGCGCACCGCACCCGGGGAGAGTGCGCCCGTCAAGCTCCTGGCTGCCTGAGCTGCTCCGCTGGGGAAGGCACAAAACGCAGGCGAAACCGAGTCCGCACGCAACGCAGGGCCCGCTCCATATAGAGCAGCCGGGAGCCTGAGCAGCCTAGACGGGAAAGCAGCGCCCCTCCCTCCCAGCATCGCGACGGAACTAGCGAACCTGAACGAGAGACCACCTCTGCCCGCCTGTGTCAGGGCGGAAATTAGACACTGAAGAGACCTGCAAACAGAAGCCAAATAAACAAAGGGAACCGCTTCAGAAGGGACCCGTGCAACAGATTAAAATCCCTGTAGGTAACACCAACTACACCAGAAGGGGCCTATAGATATAGAGAAGTGTAAGCTGGAACGAGGAGCTATCTGAAACTGAACCGAACCCAAACCGACCGCAACAGCTCCAGAGAAATTCCTAGATATATTTTTACCTTTTTTTTTTTAATTAAAAAAAATTTTTTTTCTTTTTTTTCCTCTTTTATTTTCTTTTAAAATTCCCTGTTACTCCCCCATTACTCCTTAACTTTAATTTTCATATATTTTTACGATTTTTTTAATTAGGAACAAATTTTTTTTTTTCTCTTATTTTCTTTTAAAGTCCTCTATTACTCCTTAATTTTCATTTTCATTTCACTATAACCTTGCAAAAAAAAAAAAGAGAAGCCCTATTTTTAAACTGAACTTCATATATATTTCTAAAATTTTTTGTGTTTTTAATACTGTATTTTTAAGAGTCTAACCTTTACTCTAGATTTTTAATCTTTGTTTTTCAGTATGTGATATAAATTTTGGACATTTAAGAATCCAATATTCAGTTCCCATTTTTATTCAGGAGTGTGTTGATTACTCTCTCCCACTTTTGACTCTCCATTTCCTACCTCAGAACACCTCTATTTCCTCCTTTCCCCTTCCCTTCCCAATCCAATTCTGTGAATCTCTGTGGGTGTCTGGGCTGTGGAGAACACTTTGGGAACAGACAACTGTGTAGATCTGTCTCTCTCCTCTTGAGTCCCCCTTTTTCTCCTCCTGCTCACCTCTATCTCCTTCCTCCCTCTCCTATTCTTCATGTAACTCTGTGAACCTCCCTGGGCGTCCCTCATGGTGGAGAATCTTTTCACCATTAACCTAGAAGTTTTATTATCAGTGCTGTATAGTTGGAGAAGTCTTGAGACTACTGGAAGAATAAAAATGAAATCCAGAGGCAGGAGACTTAAGCCCAAAACCTGAGAACACCAGAAAACTTCTGACTACATGGAACATTAATAAGAGACCATCCAAAAGCCTCCATACCTACACTGAAACCAACCACCACCCAAGAGCCAGTAAGTTTCAGAGCAAGACATACCACACAAATTCTCCAGCAACGCAGGAACATAGCCCTGAGCGTCAACATACAGGCTGCCCAAAGTCACACCTAACACACAGACCCATCTCAAAACTCATTACTGGACATTCCATTGCACTCCAGAGAGAAGAAATCCAGTTCCACACACCAGAACACCAACGCAAGCTTCCCTAACCAGGAAACCTTGACAAGCCAATTGTCCAACCCCACCTACTGGGTGAAACCTCCACAATAAAAAGGAACACAGACCACCAGAATACAGAAAGCCCACTCCAGACACAGCAATCTAAACAAGAGGAAAAGGCAGAGAAATACCCAACAGGTAAAGGAACATGAAAAATGCCCACCAAGTCAAACAAAAGAGGAGGAGATAGGGAATCCACCTGAAAAAGAATTTAGAATAATGATAATAAAAATGATCCAAAATCTTGAAAACAAAATGGAGTTACAGATAAATAGCCTGGAGACAAAGACTGAGAAGATGCAAGAAATGTTTAATAAAGACCTGGAAGAAATAAAAGAGTCAATTAAAAATGAATAATGCAATAAATGAGATCAAAAACACTCTGGAGGGAACCAAGAGTAGAATAACAGAGACAGAAGATAGGATAAGTGAGGTAGAAGATAAAATGGTGGAAATAAATGAAGCAGAGAGGAAAAAAGAAAAAAGACTCAAAAGAAGTGAGGACAACCTCAGGGACCTCTGGGACAATGTGAAACGCCCCAACATTCGAATCATGAGTCCCGGGAGAAAAAGACAAAAAGAAAGGCCATGAGAAAATACTCGAGGAGATAATAGCTGAAAACTTCCCTAAAATGGGGAAGGAAATAGCCACCCAAGTCCAGGAAACCCAGAGAGTCCCAAACAGGATTAACCCAAGGTGAAACACCCCAAGACACATATTAATCAAATTAACAAAGATCAAACACAAAGAACAAATATTAAAAGCAGCAAGAGAGAAAAAACAAATAACACACAAAGGGATTCCCATAAGGATAACAGCTGATCTATCAATAGAAACCCATCAGGCCAGAAGGGAATGGCAGGACATACTTAAAGTAATGAAAGAGAATAACCTACAACCCAGATTACTGTAGCCAGCAAGGATCTCATTCAGATATGAAGGAGAATTCAAAAGTTTTACAGACAAGCAAAAGCTGAGAGAATTCAGCACCACCAAACCAGCTCTTCAACAAATGCTAAAGGATCTTCTCTAGACAGGAAACACAGAAAGCTTGTATAAACATGAACCCAAAACAACAAAGTAAATGGCAATGGGACCATACCTATCAATAATTACTTAAATGTAAATGGGTTGAATGCCCCAACCAAAAGACAAAGACTGGCTGAATGGATACAAAAACAAGACCCCTATATATGCTGTCTACAAGAGACCCACCTCAAAACAAGGGACACATACAGACTATAAGTGAAGGGCTGGAAAAAAATATTTCACGCAAAGAGAGACCAAAAGAAAGCAGGAGTCGCAATACTCATATCAGATAAAATAGACTTTAAAATAAAGGCTGTGAAAAGAGACAAAGAAGGACATTACATTATGATCAAAGGAATAGTCCAAGAAGATATAACAATTATAAATATATATGCACCCAACATAGGAGCACCGTAATATGTAAGGCAAATGCTAACAACTATGAAAGAGGAAATTAATAGTAACACAATAATAGTGGGAGACTTTAATACCCCACTCACAACTATGGATAGATCAACTAAACAGAAAATGAACAAGGAAACACAAACTTTAAATGACACAATGGACCAGCTAGACCTAACTGATATCTATAGGACATTTCACCCCAAAACAATCAACTTCACCTTTTTCTCAAGTGCACATGGAACCTTCTCCAGAATAGATCACATCCTGGGCCATAAATCTAGCCTTGGTAAATTAAAAAAAATTGAAATCATTCCAGTCATCTTTTCTGACCACAGTGCAGTAAGATTAGATCTCAATTACAGGAAAAAAATTATTAAAAATTCAAACATATGGAGGCTACATAACATGCTTCTGAATAACCAACATATCATAGAAGAAATAAAAAAAGAAATCAAAATATGCATAGAAATGAATGAAAATGAAAACGCAACAACCCAAAACCTATGGGACACTGTAAAAGCAGTGCTAAGGGGAAGATTCATAGCATTACAGGCCTACCTCAAGAAACAAGAAAAAAGTCAAACCTAACTCTACACCTAAAGCAACTAGAGAAGGAAGAAATTAAGAACCCCAGGGTTAGTAGAAGGAAAGAAATCTTAAGAATTAGGGCAGAAATAAATGCAAAAGAAACTAAAGAGACCATGGCAAAAATCAACAAAGTTAAAAGCTGGTTTTTTGAAAAAATAAACAAAATTGACAAACCATTAGCAAGACTCATTAAGAAACAAGGGAGAAGAACCAAATTAACAAAATTAGAAATGAAAATGGAGAGATCACAACAGACAACACTGAAATACAAAGGATCATAAGAGACTACTACCAGCAGCTCTATGCCAAT